GAAGGAAGGAAGGAAGGAAGGAAGGAAGGAAGGAAGGAAGGAAGGAAAGAGGGACAGCGGACCTACAGAAAAGAGCTCAGTGTGGGCACTGCTTCTCTTGAATAGACTCCACCAATTCCTTCAGAATGAAACTAGAGGTATTTGGGTAAGATTTACCATTATTTCTTTTTTTAAAAAATACTTTTATGTGTGAATGTTTTATGCATATATGTCTGTGCGTGCTTACATGTCTGGCGTGTGCAGAGGGCAGAAGAAGGAGTCAGGTCTTTGGAACTAGAGGTACAGGCAATTGTAATGCACCATGTGGGTGCTGGGAACTGAACCCAGGTCCTCTGTAAGAGTAGTAAGTGCTTTTAAGGCCTGAGCCATCTCTCCAGCCTAAATTATCTCTCTATTTATCCTATATCCTTTTCATTTTGGTTTTACCCTAGTCCAATGTGGAGCTAATGTAGACAGTAGAGTAAAAAATGCAAGTTCCTAAAGATTTCCCTACCAGGAAGAAGTCCAGTCTACCCTAGAGGAACAGTCTCTGATTTTTGACTGTTGACATACTTAAGAAGCACCACGAAACTACTGTTTTGTGTTTACACAGCCCAGATCAACTTTCAAATAAAGTTAAGAAAATAAATCAGTGTAGGTCCCCTAACAATTGGAGTGTGTGTGTGTGTGGGGGGGGGTTGTCTCTGCCTTTAGATCCCTTTCCTCTAGCTGGGCTGCCTTCTCTGGCCTCAGTGGGGGAGGATGCACATAGTCCTGCTGTGACTTGATGTGGCAGGGCAGGTTGGTACCCATGGGTACTCTTCTGAGGAGAAGGGAAAAGGGAAATGGGGGGGGTGTGAGAGTGGGACTGGGAGTAGAGGAGGGAGGTTGTGAATGGGGTGTAAAGTGAATAAATAAATTAAGTGATAGAAAAAGTAAATCAAAGACATCCCTTTTTAAATTAAAGCCTTTATATTTATTTTTGTTTTCTTATACATAAAAGAAGACATAACTCAAATGTTATCACATCTTGCCTAAATCCACAAATACTGGAATTTAAGTGAAAAACATATGGTATATTAAATTAAAAAAAAAAACAACAAAACACCTCTTTGAAAGCATGTAACTTGGACGTTTTTTAAGTTCAAGTGAGCTATAATCATAGTATTGAGAAAAATGAATAAAGAAAGGTTATAGAAAAATCTCTACAGAGGAACCATTCGGACATCTGTTTTGTTCATTTGCTTTCTACCTGTTTCTCTTGAGCAACTCCTGACCCCATACTGCAACCATGAACTTGTCTCTACATTGCCTTTCAGGGTTCTTGTTTGCAGACCACCATCCCAGAAGCACGTTTTCTCAAATTGAAAAGTCTGAGTGGTGTCCAAAATGAATCTGATTGAGTACTCCCATTTACAGGCCATGGATGAGTTTTCTCTTTCTGAAAACTTATTCGGTAAGTTGCCAAACTGGTTTAGATAGGAGTTCAACAAAACTAACTGTCTCAGAAGAAAGCCTCGGTAGTGAGTTTGAGAAAATGATCTTGCTTCTTTTAAAGACTCAGTAAATGTGACTTCTTCTGCCAGGTTGTACTTTGGATTCATTGATCTCAACAGTCTCTCTCATTCCCTCTCTTTATAGAAGAAGACTGTCAATCTCCAGGGCTTTGTGAGTTGCCAAGGCCATGAGACTAGATAATTAACTGAGTGGTATAGAAGCTACTTCCTGATCTTGAGTGAATTCTAGTGTTATTACAGCAGGTATTAAAGCATGAAATCAAGTGCTTATGGCTTAATATGATGCCTATTAAAGCCTGGGGTTGCTTAGTACTTGGCACTAGGTTGCTCTCCCATTCCTCCTGTCCTGGGGATCTATGACACAGTTTCAGGATTAGTCATTTAAACTAAGTTGAGGACAAATTGTACTAAGTGACTTTAGGTCGATCTGTAACTAGATGACACCATAAAATGATGTATTGCTCCACTTTATACATTTATGAAAGCATCTAAGCATAAAGAGTTCAGTTGAGAATATTAGCAAAGAGTCAAAATGAGGGCATGGTTGGGGCGGGGTGGGGAGCTTTCTGCCACTTTTGAATGACTTCTTTCTGTATAACTTACCTTCCTTGGAGGTTAGCTTGCTCTCAGTTCCCATCCAATATTATGTAGACCATGGTAGACTATGATAATAAAAATGGAAACCTTTGAGATGCCACCAAGATCAACATGGTAAGAAATGATCCCTTACCTAGTGTCAGATATTCTCAAGAAATACTGGTTGTGGTTGCTCTAGTGCCTGCTAGCCACTATCATCTGTGTGGAGGTGATAGTTAGTGCATTTCCAAGACAAGAGGGCAGCCCTTGCATGGCCTGCTTACACATCTAGCACCCATGCACAGTAGGAGAACAGCTAATGGAAGCACGTATGCTTTACTAATCCTTGAGCACCGGATCACTAGTAATCTAGTGAAAAATAACAGATAAGAAGCATAAAATAGCCTTAATGGGGAGAAAGGGAGTGATGATCGGTAATTCTCAGAGAGAGCACATACAGAGTAATTCCCTGTAAAATGCCAATTTTCACATATTGTCATTGTGTCTTATATATTTTAGTAGCCCTCAACCCTGTGTGCCATGAGAGGTTTCGAGCAATGAAAGGGTGTGCCTCTCCTCCTGATCACTTGAACATTTGTTCTAGCCTGCTCTCCTATACTTCCTTAGAAAAATCAACACATGGGCAGTGGGTAATTTTTGCTCTACCAACAAAAACACACAGAATAATTAGGATTATTACTATATATTATAGATAAGCAAAACTCCACTTATGATTATTTTTTTCAAAGAAAAGCTACCACTTCCTGCCCCAAAATTTTACAATGGTCTATTAAAATTCCCCAGTCTTAACATTATTAAAACAAATCATGTTGAGCTTAAGTTTGCACATGGGGAGGAAAATGTAGATTTTTGCTTACATTCCAATCCAGCTTTACACCCCAGATCCCAGGTTAACCTTAAGGAGTAAAGGCTAGCGGGTACTGTCCGATTAGATGCACCTGCAAATGACAGCGAAACATGCACTGCAACTCCAGCTTTTGACCCTGTGGCTCCCATATACATAGATGATATATACATACATACATATAATGAAATTATATTCTCATTTCCTGGTTTCTGGGAATACATAGCACAAGGTGTGTGAGCTGCAATGCATAGCTTTAAATCTCTCTCTGGCCCCTGTGCTGGTAAGTTAACCAGATCAGCGCTAGACTCTTACTTTTCCCGCCTAAGTTCTAGAGCAGTGGTTCTCAACCTGTGGATCACGATCCCTTTGGGGAGGTCACATACCAAATATCCTGCCTATCAGATACTTACATTATGATTCATAACAGTAGCATGATTACAACTATGAAGTAGCAATGAAATAGTTTTATGGTCGGGGTCACCACAACATGAGGAACTGCATTAAAGGGTTGCAGCATTGGAAAGGTTGAGAGTGGCCTGTTTTTCAGGGATGTAACAGGGAGTTAGCTGGTTTTGGTAGGAGACTTCTGTAGGTGAGCAGTCTCAGTTTGTAAACATCCAGGTGGGGGAAGCAGTAGTTGTCAGCTTCTGCACATGTGAATCATAAACACTCCTCTCGAGTCTGACACAATTTTGCCAGTTTCCCATGGGCCCAAGGCATTATATGCATATTTAAATATTACTTAATACATTATATTAGGTAACATCTGGATGTCATATGTAATCCTTTAATGTTATTTAAGTCTGGGTATTGAGTTAGTTTAATAAAATTTTAGGAATTAAAAAAAAAAGAAAAAAAAAGGAAGGAAGAAAGAAAGAAAGAAAGAAAGAAAGAAAGAAAGAAAGAAAGAAAGAAAGAAAG